CAACTCCAAAACAATACCTGAATGTATATTGCATGTTACTAATTGTGAAAATATCAAAAAGTACATTAAATTGTTACATCATCAACCTATGGACATTCATTGAGCTTAACATGCCAATGCAAAATTTCCTGCTACACTGTTTTCAAATACCCAGACCAATCTTTCAAACACCTATTTAATGGGCTGCTATCCCACCATGCTCAGACAACATGTAACACCAAATTTCAAAATTATAATTGAGGAGAAGAGAGAGAAAGGCATGTTCAAAGGCATAAGGAAACACCTAGCTTCAAAAAAAGCCCCATACAAAACAAAACAAAAACCCAACCAACCCACTACTTTTGGTTTTGAAAACTCTCCAAAGTTTCTGATTGCTTACATATAGAACATCAAAAGTCACACCATGGATCTAGACCCTACTTTACAGGATATATTAAAACATGAGACACATTATGCGGCAGAATTTTCAGAGGCACAAAGATGGAAAAGAAGATGCACTAGGATAGAAGGGATCAGTTTTCCCAGTACCTGCCCTGCAGAAGTGCCAGGAAAGATCCTGTTCTACCACAAAGTGGCAGAGCCAGAGGGTCCCAGGAACTCAACCCTTCCCTGAGAGCAGCTGAGCCCACTGAACAGGTCCTGACAGGCAGGTGAGGCCAGCCAAAAGCAGGGGAGGACAGCAAGGAGCTGAAACTCCGCAGTTCACAGATGGGGACATGAAACTGCCAGGAGGAGCAGGGAGCAGAAACCCTTCCTTGGTAGAAAGCAAGCATGTTCTGGAGAACAGTATGCAGAACTGTGATGGCAGCTGAGCTCAGAAACCAGTGAAACACTGAAATAGACTGTCCAGAGAAAGAGCGGAGTCGTCCTCAATGGAAATACTCAGGACTCAACTTGACAGAGCCCTGACTGGTCTGATCGAAGACCCTGTTTCAAGACAAGATTGGCCCAGGTGAGGTCCTATCCAACCTGCAGAAGGATACTGTCACTATACCTGTCATTTCAAAGATGAGACCAGAGACTTCCAGGATCTGCGGTCCCCATTCAGCAATGGTCTCAAGTGTCTATGCATCTTCAACCATGTTCTTCCTTCCCAAGTAACACTGGCAGGTTTCAGATTAAACATATGCCTTAGAGTTTTTCCAGTTTGGGCATCACATGGATAATTCTTGGCTCTGTTCAAACAATGTCCAGATTTTTCTCAACCTTTACCCATGACCACAACTTGTATTCTCCTCTATGTCAGCTTCAGTTAATGCTTGCAAAGCAACTGTAGACTCTTAAAAGATAGCAAACAGCAACTAGCACTTGTTTGACAATCTTTGTCCCGTCATAGTCAGCATGCAAAGAATTTTATTTTTCTTCAAATTACATGATTTTACATGAATGTTTGCAGTAAGTCCCTCATCAAACAAATAATATACAAATATTTTGTTGATGAGCCAGAGCGACCATTTACAATCACATTACATTTAACATTCTGAATTTAGTGACTGTGTTATTCTATCTTAGAGGAAAGCTAAAGGGAACTTTATAGAAGAGTGGTATGAGTCATATGTAACATATGGATATGGACTTATTTAAACAGAACACCTGTATGAATATTTCATTCAATTGCTTAAGGGATTTTTTTTTGTTGTTTTTTTTTTCTTAAGAGAAATAACAGACTGTATCACAAGCTGACACCCTCCTTTTTCCCCCTAGGGCATCAGGCTCCCTGTTTCTCTGCTGCACAGCAACGAATTTGCTCATTGCGACACTGTACGTGTTCTGTCAGCACATTTTTTTGCCTCTGGGTTTACCTGAAATAGTACCATACTATGAAGTAAAAGTATGTATTTGGAAAATTTTGCTCTTTTTCTTGGAGCTCTGGAGACAGATGGATATGGAGAAGACAAAGCAAAGAGGGCGTTGTCAGGAGTCTGACAGCAAGAATACCTGGGAATCAAGATGAGAATAAATATGAACAGAAAAGCAAACATCGCTAGATCTGGTGCTCCAAGAGAAAGCAGAAGAACTTGGGAGACAGAAGCAGAAGAGATCTGGTGGGCCAAGCCTTCTATTCCAGCCTCACTTTCTCAAACACTAGCTGGACCCTCACCAATTCTTAGACACATACCCAGTGGCACAAGACGTTATTTCTACCCTGTCTGATTGACTGATTTTAAATACTTTAATACCTGCCCAGTGAAGATCGAAAACCAAGCTTCCGGAATCTTGCTTTTCAGAAGGCTTACAACTTGACTGTTTTTGGAGCATAACTCTTTGCAATAAGTATTTTATTTTAGTAATCCTTTCACACAAAATTACATTCCAGAAATAATACAATAAAACTAGGTATTCAGAAGCTATTTTAAACACCTGAATGAAATTCAATTGGAAAAAAGTCCATAGAGCAAAAAGTTTTTCTGCTGTTACTTGAATCTTCAAGACAAATAATCAGAAATAAATTATGAAAAAAGCTTTCTTATAAATGTATTCTGTATTTCATTATCAAGCCAGTCTTCCTATTCCCAAAGTGTATCATAACCTACAGTTCACTTTTAATATTTAAATGTTACATCTATATAAACAATACAGCATGACTGGTCATAGTATTACATTTGCATGTTAAGGACTAATTTTACTGTGCAAAACCTAGAAACATACATTCAGTTAAATAGTAGTAAACCCAGTATAATTTATATTGAGAAGTTCATCCAAAGAAGCTTTAGTAAGCAGTTTACCACAGGACTGAAAATTTAGTTTCTATTCTACCCTTTGCTCCCTCTCTTATTCCTTGTCAAATGCAGAAAACTCAAGCCACACAGAATTAAACCAAATTTACTTTTAGAAGCTGACAACTCAAGTCAGTGGAACAGCATATAAATTTCTACAGAGAGACTGCTTCCATATACAGTAGGAAAATTCACAGTATTTCACAACTATGACAATCATCAGGACTATCACGAAAACGGATTTTCTGGATTTTTTAAAAATTGCTGAAGCAGAAGTTACTTTTAAACATTTATGTGAAAAACATAAGTCATTTTACACTCAAGTTTAAATGACTAAGTATGTACTTGTAGCTCTCAACAAATTCATAGTACTTGATTTTATAAAAAACCTACAAATCTTGTTCAGTTGAATAAAATGTATTGAAGATGCTTTCAGTAACGTTCTAAAATCTTACTTTAATTCTGTGGAAGCTGACAGTTTCAATATTCAAATCAACAACAGGAAAAACTGGTTCTATGAATTCCAAATCTTTTTACATTATTCCTCAGGCTTTTCTGAGCTAAGTTCCTAAAAGTATCCTGTTTTACAGAACATAATCTAGATTTCCTTAGAGAGAAGTGCAAACATAATAACATTAGATCATATTGAAAACAACGTTTGGTTTTTATGCCCAAATTTTCATCTGTTTTCACTATAAGCCTGTCCTTAGGAAATACACCAACCACAGATTCACCAGCATCAGGCTAAATAACCACAATGGCTATGTTTTAAAAATCTGTTCCTAGTCTTTATTTTTTTCAATCTATCATTTGTAAATAGTCATAAATTTATGCATTGGTAGTAGCTGATTTAGGCCATATATGACCTGGTGACCAGACACACAGGGATAAACAAACTGCATCATGACTCTCACAGTTACATCATGCTCTGGTTAACTCCATCCCAGCCAGACCCAGCACACACACAAAGCTATGCTCACCAGGAAGATGATTATGCAAATTCAGTATTAAAAAAACAAAACAAAACAAAAAAAAAAAAAAACCAAACTATTGAGTAGAAAGTTATTTTTCAAGTGTCAAGATAAAAGGAACAACAATGTCACAGCACAGGAAATGGGCTCACAGGCAACAGAACAAAGGCCACTAGAATTAAGATGGAAAAGGAAGACCTACAATAAGCTTTATTCTGAACAAGACCAGAGACCTATATTCTTGAAGATGTTATTATGACATAAACATGAGGGAGAGAAGTGACCTGTATTTCCCTTCCACCCATCCCAGCCTTACACTGAAAACACTGTAAATCAGAGCAAGTTTGAAGAAAGTCATCTCTTTCTCCCTCTCCAAATGATAAACTTTAAATGCAATTTCCAGACTTGGGCATAGTTGCATTTATGTCAGAAAGATCAAGTCAGAAAACTCTCCATTTAAAGTAACAAAAATACAGAAAAAAAAAAAAAAGTCATTTGTTTATGACAAATGAAATTGAAGGTTATTGTAGATAATTTTCTTGCTGTGAGATGACATGAAAAGACTAATACATGAATAAACTTCCACGGAACATCCTCAAAAACTCAATGTATTAAAAGTAACAGAAAACTTGTTCTGTATTAAATCAATCCCCAACTACTCAACACAAACCAAAAAAGAATACAAATTTTTAACACAATATCCCTCCCTCATCTAGATATAAAACACCGTAGTCAAAGCAGAACTTAAAGGTTTTTAATCTTCAGAAAATGACAAAGGCACTGAGATTCAAAGCTGATTTAAAAAAACAAAAAAACAAAAAAAACCAAAAACCCAACAAGCCACCCTCCCCACCCTCAAAAACACAACAAAAAAAGCCCCCAACAAAAGCAACAGGCAGCTTCTAGTGTTCAATTCCAAACTGTATATATTTAAATTAAAGAAATTACAGCATAAAATTAATTTTTGATAATTTGATCTTGCATAAAGCCTTACTTTTAAATTACATTTGAAATTATTTGTATCATATTTGATTTTAAAACAATTATTCAAAGAAGCAGTCATTTTCTTGGCTTGCAAAACAGCAGGTGTTGCATGTAAGTTACAGAAAACTACCACTAACTCCTTCATGCAGATAAACGCCAGGCTTCTTCAGAATTAAATAGATGGAGAGGTTACCATAACATCATCTCAAGAAATCAGATGACATTCATATTATGCTTCAAGAAGAAGGAATAAATAAATCCACATATTCTAGCAGATCAAACTGTTAGACAGGTACTGTATCAGTGACAAAATGCCAAGAGGGCTCACCTGTTCAATCTCCTTTGTCTTAGTTGCAATTGCTTTTGAGCGACCAAGAAGCTGGCCATCCTCATATAATTCTGTGCCATCTGTTATATTTGTTTCTGTTCCCTCTGTGTGTTCGATGTATAATGGAGCTGAAGATCCAGACTTATTTAAAAAAAAAAACCCAAACAAAAAAAAAACAAAACGACAACTTCAGTTTCGAGAGCAAAATAAAAACTTCTAAGTGTGAGAACAAAAATAAAAACCCAAATACAGTCATTCAGTTAGACAGGAGTTTGCTTATCAAGACTATTAGTGAAGTATTACTGCTACAATTGAACAGATACAGATATATGGATTTTAAACATGTAGAAAACATGACATCATAAAAACCTGTGACTCAGTCTTAACTGCATAAAGACAACAATGTCAAATAACCTTCACCTGCCTTTCCCCTAAGGAGGAACTTGTATGTAACACCAGCTAGTAAGAAAAATCCACAATAAAACTGGGATTAGTTTTCTGGGAAAGAATAGAAGTTACAAGATCAAACGCAAATAGGCATCAACAAAACCAAAATACTGTCAGAAAGAACTCTTGGAGCATTCAGGACCACAGGTTTAATAGTAAAGGAACAGAGATACCTATTGTACAGCAAAAGCAAACAAGTGCTTAGAGGATTCCTGATAATATGAGAAATCTTACTCAAGTACCAAAATTGTATAAGCTTCTCTCTAGAACACAAATTGAGACAGTATCCCTGCCCCAAAGAAAACAGACTCCCATTCCAAGGAGTCTATATAGATGATGTAAAAGGAGAAGGGATTACTATAGCATATTTAAATCCAATATTATGGAAGAGATTTGTAGGGTAATAAAATATTTTTACAAAAAATAAGATTTGAGAATTGAAGAAGATGCATAAAAATATTTTCTACTATTAAAAAATAAAGAGGTGGAGAATCTTAAGACTTAGCTAATATGAAAGAGAAAAGCATTAGACAAAAACAAAACAAAAAAATAACAAAAAAAACCAAAAGCCAGCTTAATTGATCCTTTGAGCATCTGCTCAAAATTTAGCAGCAATATAAACCATTACAGATCGCATCCCAGAGCTTGTTACTGCAGTAAATCATTAAATACCGGAGAGCAAGTAAAGGATGATAAAAGTGCAGTGCAACTCAAAGTTCAGCTATCAAGCACGATGTAAAATAGACTGGAAAAAGTTAAAAACTGTTGTAATTCATACATGACAGCCTAACTAATCGAGGTGAGAAGTATCCTTTCTTCTGGGACTCAGAATGAGATGCCTCACCTCCTTCATTAGCATTCCTGTAGCACACTTTCTTAGTCAGTAAATCATCTCAGACTCTGCCATAATCAACTTCATTTGTTTCATTTTTAATCATTATTTTAAATCTTTTTGCCACTACAATTTTCTCCGAGGCACAGAGGAAGCTTTGAACAACTCTTCTCCATATGGCCCACTCTGTTCTTTGCTCCCGTGCATTACCTTCCCCTCATCAAGAACAGGAGTGACACTTGTCTTCACCGTTACTCTCCTGAACCTCTCAGAAATGTCCATCCATATGTTCTCCTCCATATGGCACTCACGCATGGATCAATTTGCTGCTTCTTTTTCCTGACTCTAATCCCTCCTGTTTTATTTTTTTTTTTTTTTTAATTTCTTTTTCCTGGAGGGAAACGAACAGTTTATTTATCCAACTAAATCTTCCCGTCCAGCATCAAGAAGCTGCTGATGCACTCAGCCATTACATCAATGAACAGGACTTAAAAGTTCAGATAAATATGGATCCAGTAAATTTATTCCTCTAATCTAGCCCTTAGGTTCCACAAGTGTGAAATACAAGGAGGAAATCTGGTGCTCCCCAAGATGCTTTTATTTTCCCTCAGATTATTTACAAACAAACAAAAAGTACAAACCCATTAATTATAACATTTAAGATATGTGACTTTGTAAAGTAGGTACTATTTTGTTCTTGTAAGAGTGCCTCTAAATTTGAAGATGAAATCATCACAGAATACAAACAGACGATTTTACAAAAATCCATCCACTGCAGTACCAAAGCAAAAAGCTTAATTTTTAATATAGAGGAAGACTTCTTTTTGAAAAAGAATACATGACATGTCAGGTTGACACATCATGGAGCTGAACTCAATAAACCAGAGTTTCTCTTCTAGTCTTATTTTTTACGTGTACACTCATATTTTGACTCAGAAATCCCTTGGTAATTTTAAGGAGTTCAGTAGGCATACAGACTTACACTAGTGCAAGAGCTCCTTGGAGAATCCCTGGGAGAGGTGGAGCCTTATTTTGTCAGTTGTAGCTCAACATGAATTCAAATTATACCAACAAAACCTACTCTGGTTTTGTGTGGTTTAAAAAATAAATAAATAAAACAGAAAGCTTTTGTCTCCCTCTTGCACCCTTTCAACAAACATTTAATAGTACAGGCAGACAAATTCAGGGGTAAGTAACAAAATGTGCCTTTCAGGAGAGTACAGAAAAACAAGAGTCTATTGTTGTAACACTTTAAAATATATCTGTTAATAATCCTGTCTTACATCATACTCTGTTATTTCAGGTAAACTGCTTTCATCAGCCTTCTCTGCCTTTTCAGCTGCCCACTTGCTTGCAGCTTCTGCAAGTTCCTTTTCCGATAGTCTGTTGCTCTTATCCAAGGCCTGTATAAAAACATTATAGTCAAGGTTTAACATGAAATATATTTACAGATGCCAAAACATCTTCAGAACAGTTATTCAGATCCCTAAAGCATTTTAAAATAGGAAATAAAGAAGCTGAAGCTATTTCATTTGCTAACCGATTTCTTTAAAATGAAAAGCGGGGGAGGAAAAGAGCAGTGAAAAAAAGAGGAAAAAAAAAAGATAAAACAATGAAGTTCAATAAAACGTTTAAAAAAGAGCCATACTTTCATAACCAGTTTTATTACATTCACAGGAGAGGGGTAACAGAAAAATTACTTGAGACCAGTTGAGTTTAGAGAAACATTGGATCAAATGGGCACTAAGAAGTCAGATACAAGTATGGAATGATCTAATAATTCCATGTGATTTTCAGGCACAAAAGGTTGTAACTAATTTAAACTAAACTATTGAGTACTGTGTAGGTTATGAAACCTAAGCTAATTAGAGACAACAAGTGGTTTATACATACTTTAAATTATCAAAGCTGCTCCATTAAGATTCATTGTTTTTTATTTGGGGGTATGTTGATAATTTATAATGTAGTCAGTCATGGCTTTATGGCCTTTTAATCTATCTTTTCCTATGGAAATATTCATATAAGTAATATTTAAAAATTGATTTCTCTCCAAGAATATGTTTTGGCTTTTACTAACAGAGCAACAAACAGCCAATGACAAGTACTCACATACCCAAACCAGTTTAGGAATAGCTAGCTTTATAAATCTTGTTACCACTATATGGGTATTTCATTTGAATGAACTGTATGTATAGAAGCATCCACCCAAGAATCTATACAAGTCTAGTATTAAAAACTGCAGCACTAAGATGGATATCTAAAAAAGATACAAAAATCCTACTGCCTGAAAAAGGTTGTCACAATTTCTGCCAATGCCTGTTCCATCTGAGCAAACAGGCGGACAAAAAAAGCAAACAAACAAACAACAACAACAAAAAAGAAAAAATACAACACTTCCCCCCCTCTTATTGTTAGTTCATTTTAAATTACATAAATGCCCAGTGGAAGCAAATACTGTGACCTGTAATAAGGCTGCTTCATCTTCAGACCTTTTGTGCTTACCTCAAGTAAAATATTATCTAAACGTCTCTTTGTGCTGTAGTATGTCATAAGTACACAACACACAGAACCCTTCCAGGATTCTGTGTCATAAAGACACCACTTTTATCTGAATCCAAAAGAGAAGTACAATACCATGTTCCAAATAGGGATCCCTCTTTTCTAAAATTGTAAATTATGGAATTACAGCCAGCAAAGTCAGGAGGTGACAAAGCTCAATGTGCAGAGGTATGAAGTGGGTTCTTAAAAGAAAGGGATAATTCATAGAATAATTAGCTCAGCTCACTTTTCCAAACTAGACAATTATTCCTACACTAGTCTCACTACAAACTATCTGCTGCCAAGTTTTTTCTTCCTGATGTTCTTATTCTCCATAGTATGCCTTACTTTTACCTTTAACCCAACTTTTCCCTAGCTGCTAAATCTTGTACTTGGGTTCTATTATGAATCTCTCCCTTTCCTCAAATGTAGATCTGGCCAATACTGGCGAAAAGACCAGTATCTTTATCACTGACAGTCATCTTTGCATGAAATGAAAAGAAATAAAATCTCACATGATGTACAATATTTCCACAAATCATAAACAGAAACTGATCACTGTAGTATGTACTGGCATACAGCTAAAAAATCTGTTTAATTTAATCACACTAAATTTAATTCGTTAGGTCACATGTCAGTAAATCTGTATTAAAAAATCCTAAGTGCATTTTATGTAATAAAGTAATGGTATTTTCACAGGTACACTACAATTGAAGGGAAAGAACAGGAACATATTTCTCAGAGGTAAATGTCCGCAGCTACTTAGGCTGCAAACTTGCAAGAAATGAACAACCTAGCATATCTCATAAAAAACAATTAAATTTCGCCCCCTGCCTCAAAGCAGAAGTGTCTTTTTTTCTTTGTCTTGGCCTTATGCATAACATAAGAACAGCAAAAACCTGTTAGTTTTCTGCTATCTTTGCCAGGAAGCTTTCCCTGTCTCACACATCTGCCTTTTGCTCTAATTATGTTGGATACAGCCTCTAAGGCTTGCAGTCCAGACAGTTATTAAGGAAAAACACAAAAGATTTCATGCCATAGTCAATTAAACAGGTGGTTGAGAACAGATAACACCAACATGTATTAATTCACATGCATGAATATGTAAAAAATTAATTATAAGACAGATAAGAATATCTTTTCAGATTTGCATGTAGTTACTACAGTGAAAAGAGATATTGCTGTGGAAGCATATACCTTTGTAAGTATTTCAAAGCTAAATTATAACTTCAAGCATTGAAAATTATCTCCTCTAATCTATAAAAGAAAGTATATAACTCATTTCTCAAGTCTAAGTAAAACCCTGGCCCTAAAGATGTACATCATGTTTTGCCAAGTCCTTTTCTGTCACTATTTCTATGTCAGTGAAGCACCTGTATAACTTAACAGGTCAGTGTAATGCAGCCATCAACCCAAGGGGCTCCACTGACACTGGATAGTACATTACAAGCATATTTTAGGACTTCAAGACAAAAAGCATGAAAAGGTCACTGAAGTACATCCATTTCTGCAGCTGATGCATACACAATAAATATTTGTGTTGTCTGAGAAAATTATTTCCATCAAACAAAGTTTCATTTTGTTAGTTTACATTAAGTGGATATCTACTGCCAGAAGATATATGCAAACTGATGGCAAAAAACCCCAATACAGCATAAATCAGACCTGACTGAAGAAGAAAGCAAAACATTTGAAGAATACTTTATAGTTCAGGCTCACACTGCATATTAATAGAAGCATAAGAGATTTTGCAATGCCTCCTTGTTCTCAAAGGTTTGCATTAAGCAAAGATTTGGTATTAAGCTGTAGTATGCTGAGTCTGTAAGCAAAATAGGTGAACTAATTATAAAGTTTATTTTATAATCCACATCAATGTAACTTGTGCATAATAGCTTTTAACTTACTTTCCTTATTTACGTCACTGAAAATATATCGCTTGCCTCCCCCCTCCTTAAGGACACGGACAACTAGCTAATGCCTCGCACAGCAGTTCTAAAAGAGCTGCATAAGGGTAGGTACTTAGAATGACATAGCACAACCAAAACCTGATTTTTTTCCCCACCTAATTATTTCCTTCAGTCTCACCTTCTCACAACAAAAAGTACCTTTCTTCCATTTTTTTGGTTTTTCTTTAGGCATTCCACTGCTTTTATTAAAAAGACCTCAAGAACCAGGCTAGTACACCATGCTACTTACAGCAAATGCTACTTGTTAATAGGACCTTGTTCACTTAGAACAATATAAAGCATTGTTTCTTTATTTCTCATTATTTTTGAACAATCTAGAGAAAATATTCCTGTGGAAGTGTTCATTTTAACCTGAAATATAATTTACAGATAAACAGTCTGTGATGTGAAAGTGTTTTTGCTGCCACAAGACAGCCAGAACAATATTGAATGCTGACTGTTCATTAGTGTTTATTAGCCTGTCCGTTTAACTAATTAGCAAGATCATGTACTTGCTGCTCAGCCCACAAGATTTGATGGGAAATTAAACAGCATCATCTAGAACATAAAACATTTACCGAACTATCCTGCAATGTGGCTCCCTTCCCAAGTAAATGCTATCATTCTTGCCACATCTTTCAGCAGCCCCTGCTTCCAAGTCAACTCTGCTATTCATGTTATCTTCCCAGTCAGTCAGACACTTCACTACACTTTCCAACTCCAGTCACAACTTAGGAATCACTGAAGGATGGAGTTCAGTGCCTGTACAGGCTTGTCCAATTGATCTGTTGTTCCCAAAAACTGATTCCCCATTTTTCTGCTTGCCATTCCTTTTCTAGCACACTCCAGACTTTGGAAAATGACAATTTTAAACACATACAAAACTCCCTTTCTCCTAAAATGAGACAGTGAATAGAGAATAAAAAGGTTTCTCAGCGTCATCATTATCAGCACCTTCCTGCCAGATAAGGGAAACCTATCCTCTGCTGGATTGCAGAGCAATTCAAGATGCTCCTTTCCTTAACAGCTGCATACAGTATGTCCTTTCAACTGAGGAAAAGATCCAACAACAGTGAGCAATCTGAAACCATGGTGAGAAATGCTTGAAAACAAAATTCACCTTTGATGATGGTACTGCTGTGGAGCCAGAAGGTGATGTATCTCTTGATGTTTTCAGTGATTGAACTGATGTCCTCTCCTTACCTACAATTAAGAAAAAATTAACAACTCAAAAATTGTATTAAAGATATATGTTGCAAATAATACTTATTGGCTTAGAAAAATTGCAGTGAAATTTGCCCTAGTCTGACATGAAATCTGCATGCTTCACCATCCAATAAATATTGATAACAATTTTCTTTGCAAAGAGAGGAGATATTGCTGTGTATCAATAGAATTTGGCAAGATGATGTTATTTTACTTTTTAATATTCCTGTAGTAATATAAATGGGTGAAATATTAGACACTAGTCAATCACTCCAAGAAACAAGGCAGTGAAGGAACTGGTTTAGCAGGCCACAGTATGTTGAAAAACCCTGACATGGAAAACAGTCCTGTATTGTATCAGTCACAGGCTAAACGCCCTTTGCATTATCAGTGCTTTTCTTGTGAGAGTTAAAATCAGTAAAACGACAATTCAAATTCACTGTGCTAATCACAGTCTGTGCCCAGCCTTGCCACAGAGCAGTTACAGGCAGCCTGCAGCAGCAGAACTGGCTGCAGTGTAAACTACTAGTTTTCAACCTGTGGTCTATGGATTACATCTAAGGGATCTGCAAAAGGTAGCTATGAAAAGCAAATGTGTTGTTGGTAGGCCTAAATTAATTACACCATTTACACTCACTGGGAAATGGCTGACTGTTCACAAATGGAAACAATAGAAACTTACCTTGTTTTCCATTAAATTTGTATAAACATAATTTAAAAGGGGATTAATTAAAAAGTCTATCAAATACTTATGAAAAATCAGGATATAAATAATTTTAGTAGAACTACAGACAAACATGGCTTTAATTTAAGGAGTTGAAGGAATAAGAAGCAATCATGGCATCTCACTCCTAATAGCTGAGCTATTTTCTTTTTTTACTCAATGCCATAAAATAAGACCGCATCATGTTATATTTTAAAATACCACAGAAAAAAAGTAAGGAAAAGTCTATGCCAAATATATGCTTTTAACAATAGGAAATGTTTAAGAGGTATTTGAGAAGTTGGTCTTCTACTCTTTCCCCACATTTTCATACCATATGTATAATGTAGACTTAATACAAACCAAAGATCAAACACCTGCTCATCTCTGCATATCGTTAGAGGCAAGTGAGTTACTGCTACATCAAAGGCTTGATAATCCAAGCAAAAACCTTCACAGCTACCTATGGGTCTTTCAAAAATGCTACCGAAAATAGTTAGGGATGTTACTCTGGCAAAAGCAAACATTCCAAATTGCACTTTAACCCTCAATCTGAAGATGATATTAAGTGCAGAGCATACTTAAAAACACAGCAAGCAGCCTTGTTTAAGAATTTCTAGTAACCATGAAACAAAAGATGAATTGTGCATTACTTTTAACTAAAAAAGCTCTTTAACAATGAAAAGAAATAGGAAAAAGAAAAATTGAAAATTAAAAGTTCCTCTAAATACAAAGTATATGACAAACCCCAAAACGTGAAGATAGAAATAATCATGTCTTTCAGCTGTCACACTTTCCAAAGCACAGAATGTTTCCCCAGACACCAACTAACACAGAAGTTTTGCTCCTGTGATACTTGCTTTACAGCCCCATAGATGACCCACCTCCTTTTAAATTTACAAATTACTACATGCCTCCTTCATCACACTGGATTCTTTAAAGATTATCTCAGTTGAGTGGATGGTATGTTTGCGATTGAATAGATGAAATAAGCTAATACAAGTGGCAGTAAATTATTCGAAGTTAAGTAAAGAGAGAAACCACCCTTTAATTTGGAGACATTAAGTCATTTTTTTCTCAATATGTGGCTATTTTAAATCCACAGACCCTACCTGTACAATGGACCATGACACTTTCCAAGCACCACTACTTGCCTAATGCATCTCCTCGACATTTCCCTCTACAGACCCCTTACCAACTGGCCCAGAGAAGGAATACCATCCTGCTTCTCTCCATGATCTCCCACCATGGATGAATGCCCATTTTTGCCCATCAGCCCTTTCCTTCCTTTTACCAAGCTTTTTTAGTCCCCCCAGTTTTCTTTGTTCAAATCCTGTATTAACCCTAATGAGGGGCAGGGGTAGCATGGAATCATAGAATGGGTTGGGGTGGAAGGGACCTTAAAGACCATCTACTTCCAACACCCCTGCCCTGGGCAGGGGCACCTTCCACCAGACCAGGTTGCCCAAAGCCCCGTCCAGCCTGGCCTTGAACCCTTCCAGGGAGGGGGCAGCCACAGCTGCTCTGGGAAACCTGATCCAGTGCCTCACCACCCTCACAGGAAATAATTTCTTCCTTATATCTAATATAAATCTCTATCCTCTTTCAGTTTAAAGCCATTACCCCTCATCCGATCACCACACTCCCTGATAAAGAGTCCCTCACACCTTTCCTGTAGCCCCTTCTAAGTACTGTAAGGCTGCTATAAGGTTTCCCTGGAGCCTTCTCTATAAGGTCTCCCCTGAGCCTTCTCTTCTCCAGGCTGAACAACCCCAACTCTCTCAGCCTGTCCTCATAAGGGAGGTGCTCCAGCCCCCCTGAGCATCTTCGTGGCCTCCTCTGGACTCGCTGCAACAGGTCCATGTCCTTCTTATGCTGGGACCCCCAGAGCTGGACACAGTACTCCAAGTGGAAGTCATCAGGCCAAATTGGTTCAGACAGCATGATTTTAAACAGTATTATGATATTAAAAAAAGACGCTGTATTATAAGTTCCACATGAAATAGTATATACTTCACATGTAAATCCATTTAAGTACAGACTAAAATGTACTGCTGACATACGAGGTATGCGCCACTATGATCCTTTTAAATATGTAATGTATGTGCTTACCTAAGACAAATCATATTCAAACATGATTATAAAAGTATTATTTAAGCCATTTATACCTTCTAAATAGGCCATTTTGACTCAGTCATCTAGAGTAACAGTTTACTAGTACTATTTTCTAGAAAATAGGCAGTTACAAAGAATTAGTCAAGTCTACATGCCATCTGGTCACTTAAAACTGACTTAAAGATGATGGGGAAGAAGGGTTTAACCATGCAATTGGAAAAAGATCCCAAAAGCCACAGACCTAAATGCAACCTTCTCTCTTGACCTGCATTTTTCCAGTTTGTGAAGATATCTGCTTCTACTTCTCTGTCTCTACTAGTGTTTGAGTAATTCTGCCAATATACTACAACTTGAAGTCAACTCAAAATTTTACGAAAACCTTGAAACATTCCAAAATTTTATACGGTTCCTCACAACATTTTTTTCTTGTTCCTGGTAATTACGATATGCACATCTACAACATTCCCAAATTTTAGTTGAATATCTCTTCATCTCCTACACTTACAGGAACTCACATTCACTGAGTAGTGCTACAAAATGTTAAAAGAATTGCAATGATTAGCTAGAAAGATAATTTGTATTCTACAAGGAGTGAAATGATTCTTCAATATTTAAATGACATTAACTAAACTGCACAATATCTTTTTTGGCAAGAAGTGCTACATAATGGTCCAGTGTGCCACTCTGGAAACACACAATATGCCTATCAGTAAAAAAAAAAAAAAAAAAAAAAAAATCCAATTTTTTAAAAGCTGCCAAAATGCACAGTAGGTTTGTATAGCTCACTAGAAAGCATTTGCAGAAAGAGAACTCAAATCGGATTAATTTATGTAAGCTGTAGAAACAGTAGTGGCTAAGATTGTAGTATATTAAAAAAAGCAATTTTGTCCTTTTTTTTTCAAATTATTTAAATAGGAAAATCTTAAATATTTTCAAAACAGATGATTCATTTGATTTTTGGGAAAGATCAACAGCCAAGCTTTTAAAAGGCAGAACATACACAGTTCTTATACACTTAACTGTATTGTTTCACATTTCTTTGAGGAAAGCAAGATTTGAGAGAATCTGACAATGAGATGAAATTGCTAAAAAACAACCAGCTTCAGAACCCTAATAATACAGTTCTTAGACAATTTTCTGAAAATGTAATAAGTAGCAGTATATACTTTAATTTCTGCAATTTTTTTAATCCCTCTTTTCCCCTGGTTGCAGGAAGAGTCTTCATCTGCTGTAGATGACAGCAAAGTTTCCTGCAAGGGAATCCAATGAAGCACATGAAGTAACAGAAGCAGTTGATGCTAAAAGGAAAATAACATTCGCTACTAGAAAAAGCTGTGCCGCTGAAACTCCTACAGTCAGTCTAAACCTGCTACTGAAATAACACCTACAATCTCCCACATGAAATACATAAGGGAACAGAGAGTACAATGAAACAACCAAAGAGCAGACAATACATCATCGGTACAAAATGTCTAGTTTTCTCATTGTAAAAGCCAGCATGTAAAGAAAAAGGGCTTATACTGTGAGTTGCAGTTTCACCTCACTAACCAGTTCTCATCATTAATCCAGCATTACCTTGCTGAGAAGAAATATTTCTTTTATGTAAAGATGACATACTTCTGCTATGCTGGGACTGATGGAAAGGGTAGGCTTTGCTTCTCTCAGGAGAGTAGCTCCTGCTGCTGACACTAGAGCCAGATCTGCTGTGCGGAGAATCCCTTCGGCTCCCTGGCGACTCCCTGAAGAAAGGAGAGTCCCTCTTATGAGGGGATCGCTCTCTCGCATAATGAGAAGGATAGAAGCTTTTTCTTCTGAAGCCATCTCTGATGTCCCTTGGAAGATAACAGAAAAATAATAGTTACTTGTTTATCTTTCCAATATTTGTGGAACAACACTAGATAATACAATGGCAACGTTTTATGTCTGGTAATACAAACAGGTTAGTTGTCATCTGCAGAACACATCTGAAATCTTCAGCATTGCTAGAGTACTAGGCAATGAATGAAAAACAAGTAGGAAATAAAATATATGTATGTAATTTTTTTCAGATTTCATTCAACAACTACGTCATTAGAAGCTAGTCCCTTTTTCTTTCTCAATAATACAGCTAAAATGTAAGAGATTCAAGAAATTCAGACTCTCACATTTTCTTTCTTGAGATTCACTCCACACCCCACCTGGAAATTAAAACTTATTTTACAATAGCTAAAAATGCACATGCAAATATTGCTCACACTATTTGGCTGTTTTTTCAACTCTATTTTTCTCTTACTCTTACTTCCAAGGGACTATGTCCCTCATTTGATTTCACGCACCTTGCTATGGGAAATACCACTGAGGGATTTTAGTTTATATTCAGCAAGGACAAAAAGAAAAATGCAGAATATACATCCTCATGCCTATGTATCCACCAAAGGCCAAACCCTGAATGAAAACATGAAGATTTATACCTACTAAAAAGTCTGTTTTTCACAACACACAATATTAATTTTTAACTTTACTGTAAACTGCCACGGACACACTCAAGTATTACATGAAACCCAACCAATTTGAAACCATAATCTAGTAAACACCAAAACCTTCTACTAAATTTATATATTGTTACTCCAGACCATACCCCAAATGTCCTCATTACCTGAACATAGTATTAATATACGTATATATGGAAAGGTCAAAAACACAGTATCAAATTGAACTTTTCCTAGATAATCTCAAAGCTAACAAACATACGTGCAAACACCTACTGAATCTAGACTTGTGACGTTTGCCGTGGTCAGAAGACACATTACTAAGAGAAGCAAGTACTTTCCAGCTCCTCCACAGCATTGCTGAGTAAAAATAAAGACTTCGTAGCATTTATAGTAAGCCAGAATGTACCTATTTCACCACTTTGCTCTCCTATTTCTCATCATGGTTCAATATTTTAAATAAGGGAATGTCTCACAATGACGAGCAAAGATCTGGTGGTCTCATTTGGCACAAAGTAGCTATAGCTGATTTTATGTTCGTGGATAAAGGAAAAAAGCCCTCTAGTGTACAATTCCTACAGCACGTTACAAGCCCACATATGTGATGGGCAACAAAGGACTTCAGTGTGCCGGTGGTGTTGCGGACTACTGAAACTACACAAGTAGCACCACAGTAATACAAGCCCTGTTACACTCGTGTTTTATACAGTGCTGATTTACTTTTTGCATGGAAAGCACATCTGCATGAGTGGTTCTGCTTCAGAGTACAAACACCCTGTTAACAGACCACAGGCCTTTTATAGGTATCTTATCTTACAGAAAAGCACATTTTACAGGTCTGCATACCAAAACTGATACAAGACAATGTTACACATGTTTGTATCTAATATGTGTGCTAAAAATCAATATTCATTTCCTTTCTAAACATCTTTTCTTTTTCTGCTTATTGCGACACTTTCTTCTCCCCAAGCAAGACAGCAAGAGAAACAATTAAGTAATTGTTAAGTAGTACTCTATTTAATGGCCTCTACACAGTAGCCGTTCTATAGATACTCATATCAAAGAATGAATCACCCCAGAATACACAGAAGATTAATCTTCCTGCTTTCTTCAAAGGCATAAGAGCTATGTATCCACCTTCGGACACTACTTTTTAGAAAAGATGTAGATTAACGGGATTAACGGGAGACTTTCCAGAAGGAAATAACTGAAATTATCAGAGACTGAGAAAACACGTTGACAGAAGAAACCTTAAACTCCTGTGTCCACTTGAATTTAGCAAAAAGAAATCTAAAGAAGCCAGGCAAGTTCTCAAACCCATGAGATGTAGCTGAAAATAGGGAACTAATGCTTTCTCTACCTTACATGTATGAACGTTTCACGTAGCAATAGACGTAAAGTGAAAGTTCAGACTTTAAGAATACTAGAAAGATTAGCTCAACACTGAACTAATTTGTCTAATTAAGTGGGTTCATTTTTTATTTATTAAAGAACATATTGATCAAATAATTATCAGGAATGAGTTGGGTACAGTACACTTTTTCTTTAGTTTCCTTCTAAATCTCTCTCCTTAAATAATCTTATTTATTTCTAAAGCACAAGCTTTCTCCAGTACACCACTTTTATGCCCAAAGCACATTTTTATGAGCAAGTTATTAAGCCCAAGTATACAGAGAAGTTTATTATGGAAATGTTTACAGAGCCCCAGCTATTGCATATGTATAATAAATGCTCCAATATCCACATAAGAATCTACAAAATATCATCGAAACACACTTTTAAACAGGAAAACATTTAAAAGACTCATTCTACAATAACATTACATACCAAAAAGTAGAATCTCACTTTTGTTTTTTTAATTTTCATTTCATCACACCATCTTAATTCTCAGCTGGACCCTATCTCATACTGAACACTCAAGCCATTAACTGTACCAAATCTGTTTTGGACAGCACAGCAACAGCACAGCATTTCTGATGTTTTCGATTAATTTAACAAACTACACTGAACAGAACAAAATAAGCATTGTTTTACTTTTTTTTCCTCTTTTTCCTTAAATACTTAAGCTAACATACACCTGCAATTAGGTAATGAAGGCTCCAATTCAGCAAAGCAGTTAAGCACATGCTTCAGATTCCAACACATACTGAAAAGGTTTATTGAGCAGGGACAATATTTAATAGAGATGCAAAATTTTGTGCTCGGCGGTAACTTTAAAACAGAACTACTGCCCTTAATAACAAATACAGGATTTATCCCTTTTATATAGGATCCCTCTTATCTTTACACTTTGTAGTCACAGAATAATAGAACGGGTTGGGTTGGAAGGGACCTTAAAGAACATCTAGTTCCAACACCCCCGCCACGGGCATGGACACCTTCTACTTGATCAGGTTGCTCAAAGCCTCGTCCAACCTGGCCTTGGAATCCACACCTCACCTAGTCCCAAAAGCACAAGTTAGTTCCCTCAGCAAGACTGCAACTGGAAGTACTAGCATTTTTAACCTCCATGAAACTTGACCATTAATTTCTCACTGAAGATAATAATCTCAGATGAGCTCCTGAAATTCTGTAAGTAAACAGCCATACCCTGATATACCATCCACCAAGGACAGCTATGGGAAGAGCACAAGCCTGAGAGTCATTTCAGTTAACCATTAGTTCCAGTTTCCTGGAGGAATAAACACAAATATAGAATAGGCAAAGGTACAGCTTTCTGCACAGGAGGAGACCAAGCGAATATGACACAGGGGAGCTTTTCAGTTGCCAAATGATCAGATACACCACCTTTCTTAAACCACCACTACCACACTGAGTACTTCTGGTCTCATCTCTCCCTGCCATTTTGAGTCATGCAAACTATTCAGCAGCAACGTTGTGGGAAACTGGGGGCTACAGGAAGCCTTCTCATTTACAAAAGGGAGTGGTACAGATTAAGCAGTGCGACACAAACACTAAAGAACTGTGTCAGTTTTATAATATAAGAGTACATAAAGGCAAAATTCAATCACTTGCCAGATTGAAATGCCTGGAATGGAAGTGTACTTGAGTACATAAAAGCACGTTACATGCAATACAGGAAAAAGTTTTGTTTGTAAAAGGAATCTTAGTTCAACCTCATTGAATTCATGCTACTGGACAACTGTGTACAATACCTCATGCCTACTACTGTCTTACACTTCTACATCCCAATACAGACACCCATCTTTTCAACTTAAACATTAATTTACGATGTGGTCCAGCCATAGAGGACATCTCTCACACTTTTGACATTGCACTGAAGAGACAACTCAACAGCATGTCACTGTGGTGCAGAAATGGTAGGTTCTTTCAGTAACTCACAGGTGAGTGCAGTTTATCACCTAGATAAAAAGTCAGCAGAGAAGATTATGTGACCCCTTCCATCTGAGAAAGATGATGGTTATTGTCAAAGGGGTTAGACATTCCATTTATAGGCTTGGGCTTGATTACTAACCTTGCCTAGAAGTAACTTACACAATTTTATAAATAAATTGAGGCAATTATACCTATCTCTTAAGACACCAGACTTCACTGCAAAAATTTAAAACAGACAAGATTTGAACCATGCTTCTTAATTCAGTACACTTTTCCTGTCTCATAATAAACAGGCTAGGACAAGGCAGATGAAGAGTGAAACAAAAATAAAAAATCCTCTTGCCTTCCTTGCCAGGACACTGCAGGGGCTAATAGAGCTACCAACGTGATTCAGACAATGTGGAAAACATTTAATAAAATATACCACACCCCTGACCTCTAAGTTTCTCAAAAGATTTGCTGTGTTAAATGTCTAAAAAGCAAACACGAAGAGTCAAAAACACCTATACTTTTAAGATCTTCAAAGTAAATGTAGGTGGTGGAAGATTCCAGCCACCATCCTCATTCCCACAACTCATTCCCTTTTTTTCCAAAGTATGCAGTACATGTTTGTGCAACTAACCAACAATTTACTTTAGTTCTCTTTTACAGACTTACTATAATCCCTTGTTATTGTCTAAAGATCTTTATGCTGATTTATCATAAACTAAAACAATACAGTGAATTACACAATTGTAGATATAAGTAATTGAATCTGGTGCCAGCGGCTTTCATTTGAACATTTGAAATGATGACAGATTTCTTATGACAACTGGTTTTCAACATTTTATGACTAAGCAAGTAACTGCAGTACTTGTAAGTGATATTTGAAATTACTTTAGATTAATGTGATTAGGTCTAGTAAATGTAATCTTATTAACAGCTTTTCACATGAAGGCAAAAGAAAACAGGCATTGCAGAACAGTAGTAAATCTCATGAAGAGAAGGATAACTAAACAAACCAAATGTACAAAAAAAAATATATATAT